CCCTTCATCTGGATTTGCTGACTGCATCCTTCCCAAACGCTAGAAAGGTTTGGGATGGGCAGGAACAAATCTGGTTGCCAAGGCACGACAGCTAGCCTTCATATCAATCCAGAGCCCGGGAGTCAGAACTGACCTGGGGGGACCTTGGCAGCGGTGTGTCTGTTTGGCTGGGCGGAGGGGGCGGAGAGCAGGGACACCTCCCTGAGGTCCCGCCTCCACCGCTCTGCCTTACGCCCCTTTCTCCATTTGCACCACTTTGAATCAGCCTTCCTTTGAAGCGCTGCCAGGAGGCTGTCCACCACCTATGGGGATTTACAGCCGCGCGGGACCCGCGGGGGCAGCACTGCTCTGTCCTAACGGGTTGCATGAGACAGAAGCTACTCAGTGGCAGTAAATTTGGGGTTGTTTTGTTTTGTTGCCCCCCGTTTGGTGACACAGAATATTCGCTCAAAGTGGCATCTAGTGGCTTTAGAAAATTATTAAAGTGACATTTAGCTGCCCATGGCGGGGTGACTCATACTAGAACAGTCTCCTTGGGTTTTCAAGGCTGTCCATCCTTACAGGAGCAGAAAGCCTCATCTTTCTCCAGCGGAGTGGCGGATGGGCTTGAACGTCCGACGTTGGGGTTAACAGCTCAATGCTTCATCTGCTACGCCACCACATCCAGGCTGGACTCTCCGGCAGCAAGTTTGATCTGCTGGTTTTCTCTCATTTGGAGCTGTGCCTTTGTTAGGGGAGCCCTAAGGCGTAGGGCTGCGTTCTAACCAGCAGCCCCTCCCCAGGGGAACGAGGAGGCTTTCTAAGTCCGCACCCGTAGAGCCCCGGTCCCAGGAACCCACAGGGGCGCTGCTGTCCTGTCCTACACGGTCGGTCGCTGTGAGTCGGAGTCTGCGGCCGCAGGGTGCTTTGTTCCGTTTATGATGCAGAACATTTGCCGAGGGCGACATCTAATGGCTTTAAAAATCATCAACCCCACTTGTCTGTCAGTTTGATGGAGTAGATTGGGTTATTTCGGTTTAAAAAAGCATAAGCTGAGCAGACAGGAGGAGGTGTGGAGGTTCAGCATTAGACTGCTGGTCAGCAGTTTGAAACCACCTGCCGCTCTGCGCGAGAAAGTTGAGGCTCTCGTCTCCCATCGCGGAATCCCACAGGACGGTTCTACTCTGCTCCAGAGGGTCACCTTGAGTCAAAATCAACTCTGGATCACAGTGAGGGGGGTTGTTTGTTTGTTTGTTTGTTTGTTTGTTTGTAAGCCAATCGGATCAAATGTCACGCCCCCCTGGCTGCACACAGTGCACCTGGTGGATTAGTTTTTCAACCCCAATACCTGGTCTCCCACTCAGGGATTTGGGTTAATTTGGTCTGGGGGGAGGCCCAAAGGCATTACAGAGTTTTAAAAGCTCCCCAGCTGTTTTTAATTTGCTGTTAAGATTAAACCTTAAGATTAGGAAAATGATTTTGCTAATTCTTCCGAGTACAGTTTTTAGATTCCTGTTAAATGAAGGGATCTTGAAGCCCTCCCTGAATCAATTCACTAATTGCGGAATGTTTCTCTGGAAATTTCCTCTGAACCTTGAGCACGCACATAGAGTTTACAGGACACTGAAATATGTTAAAACAGCAAACAGGCCCCCAGACAGCAACTTGAGCAACCGCTACCCCGAATAGAATGGCAGACAACCAGGCAGCAGTCAGTCAATCTGTGTAGGGTTCAGGAATCTCCTGTCAGAGGGCATTACAACCACCGATCCCTGAACTGACCAGCCAACCAATCACATGCCCTTATGAAGACTTGCGCGTTTTGCCTTTGTACACCCCACTCCTGCATTGGCTGGAGAGCGTTCGTTGGTCATTCCTGTGCTATGCCCCCCACCCTGTCTCCCTACAAGCTTGTATGACTACCTCTCCAGTACCTTACCCCAGTTGTTCCTGGAGTTCTTCTTTGCCTCCCCTTGTTTACCTTTAACCATATGAATGAAGAGGATGTTGTGAAAACAAAACAAGCACTGTGTTTGTTGACGGGGAACTGTTTGCACAGATGTAAACCTTCATTCACTATGCAAACTTGGTCTCACAGCTGCTAAGCTAGGCAACATACATTGCTCATAAGAGTCATTGATTGTATCAGCTGATGGAAGTGCAGACTTTCCTGGATGGTAGAAGCACTCACTGCCATTCTGACTGATAGCAACGTTATAGGGCAGAGTAGAACTGCCTCTCAGAGTTTCCACGACTGTAATTCATTGTGGGAGTAGAAAGCCCCATCTTTCTCCTGTGGTTTCAAACTGTTGACCTTAGAGTAGCAGCTCAACACATAACCACGACACCAACAGGGCTCCCCGAATGGTCGAACCGGAAAATAAAGAGAACTTTTTCAGTCCTCAAGGTGTAGTTGTTTTCCGTGCTGTATCGCAAATCACCACAGACTGGTTGTTAGGCATTGTCAAGTAGAACTGCGCCAGAGAGTTTTCTAGGCTGGAATCTTTATGGGGACAGGCCACCATGTTACTTTTCTGGTGGAGCCACTGGGTGGGTATGAGTGGCCAACCTTTTGACTAACAGCCAAGTGCTTGACCATTGTGCCACCAGAGCTCTTTGACCACAAGTTTAATGGCAGAAAACCATACACATTCGTTTATTTCATAGCTCCCATGGGCCAGGAGTCCAAGATGGCTTAGCTGGGTCCCCTGCTCAGGATCTCACAGTCTGCAATCCAGGCATTGGCTAGGCTTCACTCTCAACGAGAAGTCGAACTAGGGAAGACTCTGCTTCCAAGCCCATTCAGGTCGTTTGAATTTACCATTTGCTTGTGTTTGTTGGGTCGAGGGTCCCAGGTTGTGTGGCCCAGGTTGGTTGGAGACTGCCTACAGACCCTCTAGTTCATCTGCAATTCCTTGTCACATTGGCTTCCTCAGTCTAGCTGCCAGTCCGCTAGAACACAGTCCTACAGAGGTTGCAAGAGTGACACCCACCATCTTTGCCATGTCTTCAAACCCATATGTAACATCTATCTATCACCTTTGTCATATTCTATTGGCTAGAAGTAAGACACAGGTCGACATGAGGCCATGAACATCAGGTTGCAGGATATCATCGGGGGCATCTAAGACTCTTGTCTGACACACAAAGGAGGGGACAGAAGGGCCATAGATGGTTACAGCCAATCCAAACAGATCATCGGTCCTGCTGAAAGCTGGAAAGGAAAATGGATCGAGCCAGGAAATGTGGGCTCCAGCCCAGACTCTGCCAAAGCTGGATCACAGACCAGCAAGCTCTCCAATCTTCAATTAGCTCACTGATTGAATGAGGTCAGCAAGACAGTTCTGAATACAAACCAAAGAAATCCATAGTCAAATACAATGGAAACATGGTATCAAATACACATGGAAATGGTGATGTAGTGGTTATGTGTTGGATTACTAACCTCAGGGTCAGCAGTTTGAAACCACCTTTCTACTCCTGTAAAGAGTTACATTCTCAGAAACCCATAGGGACAGTTCTACCCTGTCCTATAGGGTCACTATGAGTCAAAATCAACTTGATGGCAGTGAAAAAATCCAAACAAACAAAAGATAGAAAGGATCACACTTACTGTTTTGTTGGTGAGTATATGGTGACCCCAATATGCTCAGTCCTGGGAAGCAATGGGGCAGTATGTGCCACCCCTTAAAATATTCACACCTTTTGATAAAGGAATCCCATCCCAAGAATTTATCCTCAGGCAATGTATAATTGACAAGGTTTTTAAAAATATATGCACAAAGTTATAAATCATAGGTATTCAGAATATGAAAAGCTAGAAATAAGTACATGTTTAAAAATGGGTGAATAAATTATAGTGCATACTAAAAGTAAAAACCAATAATTATGCAGGAACATGGGGACATATTTATTACTATCTGTGAATTGATAAAAAGGTCAACCATTATATAATAAACACTGAAGTCATGACAAGTAAGAAAAAATACATAAGTGATACAGTCCATACGTTTGTGTCATGGGATGATATAAATAATTTTTTATAACTTTCTTTTACCAGTACCTCATTTGAAAAATAATAAATAAAAGGAATAAAACGAAAACATGAGGGGACTATGTTACAGTGGTGAGCTTCAGGATTTAAAATATTTAGAAGTGGGTTCTACCATATGAAGTGTCTGAGCTGAGGAATTGCACACACAAACACAGAACCTAAAAGGGACACAAAATGTTCACAGACGATTCTGATGCATAACGTTTCAGGATAAAGGTCTATCCATCCACGCAGAAGGAGGGCATTTCAGCCATCAGTTCAACATGGCTAAGGAGGCAGCCTGGGTGATGGAAACCGGCTCTTCTCAGGGCATGCCCGGGCTGTGGCAGCCACTGTCGTCAGAGTGGTGGCCGGTGGACCATCTGAGGGGCTGCCTTCCAAGCTGGTCTGCTCCACCAGGCGGGAAGCCTCCAGGAACTCGTTGATATCGATGTGGCCGTCCTTGTTGAAGTCAATGCTCCGAGTGAGGTCACAGATACAGTCGTCCGTGATGCTGATGTTCATGCGGGAGCTGAACAGTTTCCAGGTCTGCCTGAACTCGTCCAGGGAGATAAACCCTTACGAGAGAGAGGAAGGCACCTCAGTGAGTCAGATGGGGTTTAATGTTCATGTCCCCTGACATCTTTGCAACGTAACATGCTGCCTGCTGTCAGCAGGGTGGAGACATCGAAGACCGACTAAAACCTCTGTAGATTTTCTAGTAGCTCATTCAACTCCCGAGTAAATGAAACACACACACACACACACACACACACACACAGAGATCACCAATGATTCTCAACTGGGGTGATGATTCCCTACCCTGGGGGACATGTGGCAATGTCTGGAGACATGTTTATTGGTATGTCTGCAAAAGGGGTGCTACTGGTACCCTTCAATAAAGTTAAGCATGCAGCTAAGCATCCTTCAATGCACGGGATGCACCCCTGAACAAAGGATCACCAGGCTTACAACGGCAATGGTGCTGCTGCTGAGCAATCCCACAGGGAACCATCCCCAGCACACACGAGGACGTTCTGCTGATGAAAAGCTCTGGACACATACATCTATGTTCATTTGATGTTTTTTTACAAAGGTATCAAGATCATTCATTGGGGGAAAGAACACTCTTTCAAGAAACAGTATGGGAACAACTAAGACATCTACATGCAAAAGATAAATTTGGATGCCTACCTAACATCATATTTTTTTTAATTTACATCATATTTTTAAAAAATTTACTCAAAATGCATTGGCAATCTGACTATAAAAGCTAAAACTATAGAACACTTAGAAGAAAACATATGTGTAAATCCTTGTGACTTTGGATTAGGCGTCAGTTTTCTAAATATGACACCAAAAGCACATGCAAGCAAATAAAAAATAGGTCTACGGAACTTTATAAAAATTCCAAACTTCAAAGAATGTTTTCAAGTACATGACAAAGTCTTCCCAAAGAATGGGGAAAACAGTTACTAGTAACACAGGTCTATCTGACGAGGGTCTAGCCTTCAGAAATATGACGAACCCTTCCAACTCAACAATAAAAAGAGAAATCACCCAGTTCTAAAATGGGCAAAAGAGACAGAGAAATGTTTCTCCAAAGAAGAAACACAAATGGATAATAGGCAAATAGGAAATATATGAAAAGATAATCAATATAATTGGACATTATGGAAATGAGATACCTCACACCCTCTAGCGTGTTATAACCACACAGAGAGAAAAGAATTTTTGGTTAGGATATGGAGCAATTGAGACCTTACATATTACTAATGGGGGTATAAAATAGTATAGCCACTGTGGAAAACAGTTTGGCAGTTTCTCAAGAGTTAAAAGATAGAATTAGCATATTACCCACTCCACTGTTGGACACACACATACACACACACACACACACACACACGCACATCCAAGAGAACGGAAGACACCCGTTAACCCCCAAATTGTACACAAATGTTTATAGCAGCAGACTCACAGTAGGAAAGCAAAAACAACCCAATGCTCACCAACTTGTTTAATATTTTTTTAAAAAAAGATATATCCATACCAAAGGATATCATTCAACCACAAAGAGGAATAAAGCTCTGTCCATCTTATGACATGGGTAAACCTTGAAAACATCATGCTAAGTGAAAGACTTTTGATACAAGTGTCACATATTGTATGATTCGAGTTATATGAAATGCGTCTAAACAGGCCAGGCCAGTCCGTTAGAAGTGGTTGCCAGGTGTTGTGGGTTGGGGTATCTACTTGGGGAAATGAAATGTTCTAAAATGAATTCGTTACACAGCCTCCTGAATATGGAAAACTCCTAATGTGTACCTTCCATATAGGTGGATTTCATGGTATGTGAATTGTACCCTCATTGAAAAAAGAGTAATAACACTTTTTTCAAAAGCTCTTGGACCAATGGAAGCAAAAGGGTGAAGTGTACACATGACTCCTTGTCCATTTAGTGCGACTTCCTGTGAATCTATAATTGTTCAAACTTCAAATACTGAAGGCCTGTGGGTGAGATTGCAGAAGCCTTGCTGGTCCAGGCCCTCTTCATTACTTGTCTCCTCTTTTATGCACTCGTGTGGGACGCCACATCTTCACGATTCTCTCTCTCAGAGGAGCCTGTTGGTCCTCATTCTGCGTGTCTTCCTCCGTTCCCCACCCGCCCTTCTACACAGCAGCTAATTGCTTGTATGGCTCACGTGCTTTTCCAGTTTCTGCTACTAACCAGGAAGAATGCTGTACGGCAGATGGAGAGGTGAAACTACCACGCGTGTCTCCTGAATGCATTACCTGAATGATCACTATCTATGGTCCTAAAGATGGTCTCCAGGTTGGATCGGTTTCGATACAGTGTCTCCAGCAAACTTGACTGTATGTTCTGTAAGAAGAAAAACACCTCATTTCCCTTCTGTATCTTTTTTGATTAACACACAATCAACGCTGAGAACAATAGACGGTTGAAAATAGTGGAAGCCAACTCTCAACGCCCACTCTGTCTGTTCTACATATCAAAGAATCTAAAGGTTTAAGAAGTTCCTAGTCCAGGGTCTTCGATACACTATACTGCAGTCCATACTTACCCAATAAATGCATTTCTAAGGGGGCAGGCAGTATCGGGTCAAGGAAAGAAAGCAGCCGTGAAGCTAGCAGAGCTGGGTGTGCGGGCCTGCTCTACAATGTAGAACGGGCAGGTTTCTTAACCTCTCTAAGCGGCGTCTAAGTATGACCTACTGCTATCGAATGGCGTCTTACCCATTGTGAGCCAAAGGACAGAGGAGAACTGCTCCATAGGGTTTATGAGACTATGAATCTTTACCAAAGCAGACAGCCTCATCTTTCTCCTGGTGGGTGTGAACCACCAACCTTCCTGTTAGTCCAACACTTAACCCACCATACCACCAGAGCTCCATGATCTAAGAATAGTAGTGCTAAAGGGGGGTTAATAGTATTCATGGTTGTATAACCCCACCCAATGGGATTGAACAGCAGCATTGTATGTGAATGGATATATTGGAATGTGTAAGCTATGTCAATAAAATATTATTTTAAAAATACTAAAATAAAACCAAATAGGGCCAAATAATAACAGTAATACCTCCCTTTGAAGGTGGCTCGAGGATTAACTGAGGCCACATATGTAAACCACTTAGCCAAAGTCTCATGCACTCAACAAAGAGCCGCTGCCTTTTCTCAACTAGTCTCCCTTTAGGAGTCTCAAGATTTTGTTGTTTCCGATTCAAAGTTCTCATAAAGTCCATTGGGGCCCATGATCAATCACACCATTACCTCCCGGTTCAGCTGTTGCTTGACCAGGCCCTCCAGCCAGGATTTGTACTCCAGCAGGCTCTCGGGGGAGCCGCTCACCAGCTGTGGCCTCAGCATCCGCCAGGGCAACCCAAGACGTAGCACAGACTCCACGGCGGTCGCCCAGTCCCTCAGGGTGATGAAGCCTAAGAGAAGAGTTACATGGTGGACCCATCACCTATAGGCGTACACCTTTGAATCCTGACAGCCTCTCCATACATAATAACCATCACGGGCCTTCACCCGGTCTTTGTTGGTCACGGCAGAGTTGTCTGCACACGAGGACTGCCGGATAAAGCGCAGGGTGTTCAGACATTCAACGAAGACTGAGTATGCACCAAGTATTGCAGGGAGTATGTGTAATATTAATAATTATTTGCGATTTATCTGAAATTCACATTCACAGTTCTCTGTTTTCTCTTTGCTCCTGGAAATCTCATAAGACTTGAAATTAATAGCATATCACATCATACATAAAAAGCATCAGTTGCTTTACTTTGTTTCAAACCTCCTAAATCCCTCAGATGAGGAGGGGATTTCCAAAAGGTCATGGAAAAACAGAATCAAATGGCAATGGCATTTGCCCACAAACTTTCTGAAGCCCCTCTGATAGATTATTAACGGAAAATGCCTTGGCAGAGAGAGAGAGCCGATGTGCGTGACAAGACGTGGCTGTGAATTTGTGGATGTCACTGTTCTGCCTGCAAGGGTCTTTCTTCGACTTGACGAGGCTTACCAGGGTGACCTGCATCGTGCTTCTTAAATTCACCCAGAAGATCGGAAGAATGAGCAAATAATTTTTCTCGAAGAGCTCCCAGAGCTGACTCCTCTACTTTGCTGATCCTGGGACAGAAAAGGAAGACAAACAGTAAACTCCCAAGGGAAAAGCCACAAATCTGTACCAAATTTCTCCTCTTTCCTTACATCTCAAGAGCTCAGCCTTTGGGAGATGACTTCTAGCTCTCGTTTCTCCCCAGCCCCCCCTGCCAGTTTCCCCCATCTGTGTACAGATAGGGTGTGTGTTGTCCTCTCTGGTGACCAGGTTCTCTAGAAAGACCACCTCGGTGGGCAAGTTCTCCAGGCCTTAATGCGCCTGCCTCAGGACTGCTGTGATGATGAACAGACGAATTATGAATCCATGGAATCACTCAGTCAGTCACCATCTGTCAGCATCCTGCCTATCGTTTATTGGTGTGTTAAAAAGTCACAAGGCTAGACTTAATGAATGACATAATAATACGAATTTAGTATTTACTATTAGTATTAATTTGACTTTATGCATGTTAGGTCGAAAAGTAATGCTGGGCACGGCATTTGGCCCAAAGTAAGTGTTCAGTAAAGATCTGTAGTTGAGTGAACAAGACTATTGAAAGTACCCAAAGGCAAATATAACAAACAAACAAAACATTTCAATTATGTTTTCATTGATGAAGATCTCCCTTGAAGGTTGCAAATGTTTAGCATAAGAGCCCTTAACTTGGCTTCTCAGCATTATCAAAAAGGGAGAACCCAGGGCCTCGTTCTGGAGTTCTTGGTACCGCATGTCAGCATATGGCTTTTCAAACCCCTCATATGTTTAGGGACCGCTGGTTTGGCAGACCACTAAAAAGTTTCTGGTAAACTCTAGTCATAGACAGTTCTCATACAGGGCTGTGGTGTGACAACGTCCCCAGGAGCTATAAGGATTTCAAGGGATTATAAGGATCTCTGTGGCTAGGTCATGCACAGCACATATTAAGCACTTACTAAATGCATGGACCATCTCATTAATCTACCACTATCCACTGAATGGGCATGCTCATTAGTATGCCCTTCCCAGAGAGAGGAAGTAAGGAGCCCAAGGTCACAAAGCTAATAAGGAGTGTAGCCAGGAATCAAGTGCTGGCAGCCAGACTCCAGAGTAGTTCCGCTACTCGTGTGAGAGGTCAAGGTAACCAGTAGTAAGTGGATTCCAAATGAGGATTCCTCTAAGACAGTGGTTCTCAACCTGTCGGTCTTGACCCCTTTGGGGGTCGAATGACTCTTTCACGGGGGTTGTCTGATTCAGAACAGTAGCAAACTTACAGTTATGAAGTAGGAACGAAAATACTTTTATGGTTGGGGCGGTCACAATTTGAGGAACTGTATTGAAGGGTTGAGAACCCTAGGAAGGTTGAGAATCACTGCTGTAAGAAGACAATGTGGCCTTGGGTTTGTGGCTGGTAAGACATTGGTGATACCGGGAGGGTGGAGGGAAGGTGAGGGAGAAAGGGGGAACAGATTACAAGGATCTACATATTACATCCCTGGGGGATGGACAGCGGAGAAGTGGATGAAGGGAGACGTTGGACAGTGTAAGATATGACAAAATAATAATTATTTATAAATTATCAAGGTCCATGGGGGGAGGGGGGAGCGAGGAGGGAGGGGGAAATGAGGAGCTGATACCAAGGGCTCAAGTAAAAAGCAAATGTTTTGAGAATGATGAGGGAAACAAATGTACAAAAGTGCTTGACACAATGGATGTATGTGTGGATTGTGGTAAGATGTATGTGTGGATTGCATAAGCCCCCAATAAAATGATTTAATTATTTAAAAAAATTTAAGACATTGCTATGCCTACTCAGAGATCTTTCATTCCTTATTTCTAAATTCTTCATTGTGCTCACATCATTGACCTCTGGATAAATTAGATGATGTCCATGGATTAAGCCTCCGGGAATCCCCTCTGACTATAGACCAGGGATGTGAATAGCAGTGCTATTATGCAAAGTGCATTGGAAAATGGATTGTTGCAGGCGCAGTTAGGTTAAAACTTAACACCTTATGATTTAGTTTTTAATATTTTCTACTTTTTTATTGAGGTTTTTGTTTTACTTTGTTATTGTTGTTAGGTTTTGTGGCTGCTTTTTTTTTTTTGGTATTTTTTCTGTATATGAAATCCCAAAACCAGAAAACCAGACTCACTGCCATTGAGTCCCTGATAAACCAGCGGGACAGGGTGGCCTCACAGGGTAAACAACTGCCCTGTGAGTTTCTTAGGTTGTGACTCTTTGCAGAAAGTCCCATTTTCCTCCCACGGAGCAAGCAGCTATTGATTTTAAACTGCTGACCTTGCGGTTGGCAGCCTAATAATGAATGGTTTCTTGGGGACACAGCAGGGGTCGGGGTGGGTTGGGAAACAAGGAGTGGGGAGCTAATAACAGTGAGTACAAGAAAGAAAAACTGTGCCAAAATTGATTGTGGTGATGATTTTACAACTCTTCTTGATACACTTGAACTATTGATTTGTATGATAAGTGGATTATGTGCCAATAAAACTACTTTTAAAAAATGCTGGAAGGGAAAAAAGTATTAGATGTTGTACTCGAGGTAATGCAGTTGATGCACACTTCACAGAGCTGAGCATCCTTTGCCTCTTCGAGGTGCATACTCTTTTTAAGAAGCGTTTGTGTTATTTATAGGAGCCCCTAGTGATTCCTTTTGAAGGGATGAGTGGTTGTTGTTGTTGGGTGCCATTGAGGTGGTTTCGACTCACAGTGGACTTATCTGTGGACAACAGAGCGAAACCCTGGCCGGTCCTGCCCCATCTTCACAATGGTGATGCTTGAGTCTATTGGTGCGGCCACTGTGTCCGTCCTTCCTCTTTTACACTGCCCAGCTCCGTTACCAATCATAACGTCCTTCTCCGGGGACTGGTCTCTCCTGACAACGTGTCCTAACTACATGAGATGAAGTCTCCCCATCCTTGCCTCTCAGGAGCATTTATTTGTCTTTGCTTGTTCTTTTGGCAGTCTGCGTACTTTCAACATGTTTCGTGAGCACCACAATTAGTGACATCTATGTCATCAGGAATCACGACACTCCTGGTATGTGAGCTCCCCCCCTTGCCCCCCAGATGCTCATTTGGTAAGGCCGGAGTGAGAATCCGAAAACTGGTTTTTCATAAAGCTTCCCATGTGTTCTCTACACCACAGGTTCAACTATTACTTGAGCAATTAAAATTTCCACAGACTACTTTTTGAGGTGAGGGTAGCTAATGTTTAATCGCTCAAGGGTGATTTAAAATAATCTACTTTTACAGCATTCAAACAAGGTGTAGGCTAAACATTAATGTGTTCTCTGTTCATGGGATGGACGCTAACGTTGTCTATTTCTTTGGTTTGCTGGGTGCGTTAGACTAATTAAAGATGCATGGTCAGTATCACTCTTACTGTAGCTGTTAGCTGCCTGCACACTTTGAGATACCATCTCTGTGGAAGTCAGTATTGCATAATCATTAAGGGTGTGGGTTCTGAAGTTAGACTGCCTAGGTCAAAGCTATTATCACCACTTACTAGCAGTGTGCCCATGAACTAGCCAAGTATGATTCCTCAAAATATGTGCAAACTCATCTACAAAGTTCAAATTAATAATATTGATCTCATAGTTCTTTGTGGAATAGTATATCTAAAACTTTATAATAGCACTGGGTATGTGTTAAGTGGTCAGCTAAAGCTAGAACTCAGAATCATTTCAACAAATATCATTTAAAGAATATAACTTGCTTCCTTACCACCAAAAATGAGTCATTGTTAATAAATATGCACATTGAAATCTCTCTGTCAAATTGTCATAGAACCTTGGTTATGCTTTATGGACATAACAAAAGTCCTTTAAGGAGGTAAGAAAATAGAAGGGCAACCCTGGGAAAACTTGGTGAACTGGTATTATAGACTTTACCAAACCAAAGATCCATTCAGTGAGAATAATTTCTGCAGGAAGCAAATGTGTTGCTGCCATTGAGGATGAGAGACTTTAGAGTAGAGAGAGGAGAAGTCTGTTGCCATGTCTATTCTAGATCATTATATTGACATAGCTGATTTTTGAGTTCTTATTTGGAGTTTGATAAATGTAATGACATATGACACTTTAAAGATCAAACTCTGTAATTTTGTTTTTCTTAAAATCATCTTGTAATGTCTTGCCTTTGCCTCATGGTTAGCTCATGCGTTGCCTTGTTAGCTTGATACTGCACAATATGTGGGGTCAAGGCAGGCCCCAGTTTGACGTAGGCTCCTCTGTTACTGCCAACTTCATAGTAGTTGGAGGCAGAAAAGATGGTTAGCACCTGAATTGAAAGAGAAGAAAGACAAGTATTCAATTTCACCGAGAAACCTTTCACCCCCAACCCCAAATGTTGGCGTCATCAGGTTGATTTCAACTCATAACAACCCTTGTATGACAAAGTAGAACTGACCTATAAGAGTTACTAGGCTATAATCTTTACAGAAACCGGCTGCCAAGTTTCTCCAGCAGATGGTTGGGTGAATTAGAATCATTCACCTTTCATATATGGCCCTCCCCAAGTTCATGGGCTGCTACTACCTCTTGTACCATGTTGAGGCTACTTTTAAAAGTCATTAATATGTTTAGAGTCCCCCAAAGAGTAGAGGAGGGAGTAAGGCTCCTTAATTCATTCTCTGAGACAAAAATACTCTAATGCTAAAATAGACCACAAGAAAATAAAACTAAAGACCACTATCTCTTTTGAATATAGAAGTGAAAATCTCCAACAACAACAACAACAAAAAAAACACTGTAGAATAGAATCCCAAAGCATATTAAAAGCATTATGCAGTATGACCAGGTTGGGTTTTTTCCAGAAATGTAAGAATGGTTCATCGAAGTAATGCCCCTCATCAATTGAACAAAGGAAAAGAGCCACATGATCATCTCTAGGGATGC